CGCCTCACTGGACGCAAAAAAGCCACAGTAAAAAGACCCATTAGAACTGAACTGAGTAGCGAGAAAACCAAAAGTAGTTTCTATGAACAACTGAGGTCACACTTAGGTAGTTCTGAAGACGAGGCTGACCCAGATGTTGCTTGGAAAGATATGCAAGCAGCTGTGGAAGCAGCTGTGGAAGCAGCAGTGACATCTATTAGCGACTTAAACCACAGAGTTTCAAAGAACCAGTGGATTTATTCAAAGTCCATCACACTGATGAATTCTCGCAAACTCGTCCCATCAGGTTCCGAACATGATGAAGAGCAACAACAAATCAGATCTAGGTTAAGAAAAAGTCTAAGAAACGACCGTGAGCAGTGGTGGGCAACGAAAGCAAAAGAGATGGAAAGGGCGGCGGCTGTAGGGAACACAAGACAGCTCTACAGACTAGTAAGAGAAACAGGAATTACTAAGTCAAGCATAAGTCAGACTATTTCGGAAAAAGACGACACCCTCATCTGCTCCCAGTCCGGACGTTTAGAACGATGGGCGGAACATTTCAGAGAACAGTTCAGCTGGCCTCCAGCTACTCTACAACTACCCTCCATTCCCAGACAGTGTGAATGGAACATTGAAGTAGGTCCCCCAACTCTTGCTGAAGTTCAAAAGGCTATAGTCAATCTGAAACGAGGAAGGGCAGCTGGTCCAGATGGATTGGCTCCAGAAGTCTTTAAGGATGGTGGTCCAATTTTAGCGATTAGGTTGACTAATATTTTAGCTAAGATCTGGGAGTTAGACTTTATCACATCTGACTGGTCGCAATCACTTATCGTCCCAATATATAAGAAAGGGTCAAAATCATCCTGTGACAACCATAGAGGGATTAGTTTAACTAATATAATATCTAAAATACTAGCCTCGATAATTATCAGACGCCTAACTAAGACTCGTGAACTGCAAACACGAGAGAACCAAGCTGGCTTTAGACCTGGTCGTGGCTGCATCGACCACATATTCACCATTCGTCAGATTCTAGAACACGGGCATACTTATCGACGTCCAACAATGGTGGTCTTTCTCGACTTAAAAGCAGCATTTGACTCTGTAGACCGCGAGATTCTGTGGCAGTGTCTGTCATTGAAAGGCGTACCTCAGAAGTACATAAACCTTGTGAAGGCTCTTTACTCGAACACTACTAGTCGAGTCAGAGCTTATGGCGAACTGTCATCTACTTTTGCAACCTCAAGTGGTGTCCATCAAGGCTGTTCACTTTCCCCATTTTTGTTTAACTTCATCATAGACCTACTGATGGAAATAACATCCTCGTCGACTGAATTCTCGGGTATTGATCTCCTTCCAGGAGGTCCACTTATCGACTTGGAATACGCAGATGACATAGTCCTGTTTGGTGAAGACGCTGACAAAATGCAGAGTCTTCTGGTAGCACTAAGCAACAATGCCAGAATGTTTGGAATGCGCTTCTCTCCCTCTAAATGCAAGTTATTGCTTCAGGACTGGTCTGCGTTAACACCTGAATTAAGGTTAGGGAGTGAAGTAGTCGAACGCGTTGACAACTTCACTTATCTTGGAAGTCTGATCAGCCCTAATGGGTTGGTGTCTGACGAAATCTCAGCACGGATTCGAAAAGCTCGATTGGCTTTTGCCAACTTACGTCACCTATGGCGAAGGCGAGATATCCGTCTATCAATAAAAGGACGAGTATACTGCGCGGCAGTCCGTTCTGTTTTAATTTACGGCAGCGAAACATGGCCATTAATAGTAGAAGACACTCGTAAGCTATTAGTATTTGACCACAGATGCCTTAGAAATATTGCTGGCATCTGCTGGGATCACCGGGTAAGTAATAGTGAGGTTAGACGCAGGGTATTAGGTAATGATGGTAAATCAATTGATGAGGTTATGAATCTTCATCGACTGAGATGGTTGGGCCACGTGTTACGTATGCCTGAACACCGATTACCACGACGTGCAATGCTATCCGGTATTGGAAATGGTTGGAAGAAAGTTAGGGGCAGCCAAACCAAAACGTGGCATCAGTGCTTGAAGTCACTAACTTCTAGTCTGAGCCATGTTGGTAGATGCAGACTACTTGGTTGGGGTCCACGTGACTATCGTAACCAATGGTTGGAGACTCTTGGTGACATGGCTCAGAATCGATCACAATGGCGTCGGTGTATACACTCCCTGTCTTCCCTTAAACTAAGAGATTAAAATCACTTCATATCTTTCTTTCTACTAACTAATTCTTTCATCCTGTACTGTATCCTTATATGCAATCTTTCTCTTATATATTACTACCTTTGACCTAACCACTGCTACGAATCTGGTGTTCATCTTGTTGTGCTGATGCGGTATGGCAACCTGGACCGATGCACATATGTGCCTGGTCCTACGTTGTAGCTGACTGACTGACTGACAATCAAAAACAAAGATTCATCATTGTATATATAGTTTTAGAAGTAGATAATTATTACCGATTTCAAGTATAATTCTTTTTATATATATTGTAGAAATTCATCATTTTAATTATAAATAGAAAAGCTCAATGATGAACAATTAAAAGTCTAATACCGTTCCTATCGGCTCTGTGTAGTTCAGTTTCTTGTAAATAAAAGTAAAAAATAAGTTTGTGATAAATCGAACAGAAAATTTCCTCCCTTGAATTGTCTTTATTCTTGATCAATCCCATTACGAGTCTTTTCTGTTATTTAATTATGAATGCTGAAAATAACTACTCCAAAAATTCACATCAGATAGATCTCATTTCGTTAACAAAGTTTTTGTTTAATTAAAAAAACTAGTGATACTTATTTTCAAAGAAGTAAGTAACAAACATAATGGTGTTAACTGAAATTAATCAGTTCACTTTTTGACCTTAAAAAAATTGAGTTCAATGTATTATAGTAACTACTATATTAGGGACATATGAAGAAAACAAGTAATCGATCCAAATACTATACTCTGTGGTAGAATATTGAAAAGAGAGGAATATTATAGAAAGGAAAAGCGTCAAAATCATAATTTTCTTTAAATGAAATTCAACAATCTCCGTAACCTTATGCTAGTAATAATTTTCTGACAGAAGTAGAAAATTAGACGTAAAAAACACAGTTTAGTATGGTTGAATTCCTCAAAGTGTATATATACTGATAAAGACTGATCGATTGCGATCCCTGGTATCAATAAGGGAAACAATCAAACATGTGTGAGTGTAATTGATAGATCAAATGAATAGAATAACACCATGTAAAAGATCTCAGTGAAAGAGCTAATTATCAACGTTATGACTTAAAGTTTCTAATTGAAGGTTGTAATTATCCCACTGAACTCAATCAGGAAGTCTGAACCTACACATTTACACCCACTGAGTTCGTGAACTAATCTTAAATAATAATGTGGTAACCCTAAACTCCTGCTCAAGTAGATTCTTTGATGGATAGAATAATGTATAGGTGTCATTTGAACATGACTTCATCTTAAATATTTCATTTAAAGGTGGTTTACAACCTCAAGATTAGTTTACCATATTCAACTAAAACTACATTGCAGATCAGGTTTGCTCGCTCAGTGGTTTTCCCATGCAAAACATTTATACTATACTGCAATCAGATACTGATGATCAATGTCAGTCTTTTTCCCTTTAGGTTACTGATAAATGAACAGGCATCTCACATGCATTTGATTTATTTAAAGCTACACAAAGAAGAATAAAGTCAGAGTTTGACTACTATAACTACATTTTCAGAAAGGTCACATTGTTTTTATTTTTTCCTTCGTATTAATTACATAGGATTTATCAATAATTTTGATATTATAGGCCATGTAATAAGACATTCCTGTCTTTTAAATTCATATCAACATCCATTAGTAAATTTTGGAAATGGGTTTACCAATCGACTAAAACTTATGTAAAAAGAACCATTTGGGAAATGAAGCTTTTATAATCATCTGAAGTATTATTAATTTTTAACTCTATACATAGATGCATATATAGTCAATCACCTCACCAGTTGGTAATACTCTACGTACTATTATTTTTATATAGAATGTGGGGGATCTTTAGGTGTATATATAATGTGAAGAAAAATAACCACATATCTCCGTAAACTGGACTGGAATAAAGTTATACTTGACATAATACTGTCTATATTCATACAAAACATTACATCAGACGTCAGTTTATAAAAACAATATAACAAAATAGACTGTCAAAACACGATGAGGGTTTGAAAAATTATGATGAGAGTGTATTTAGTTAAGGGTTCATAATACAAACAATAACGGGTATTTATACATCTGTTTAAGCTAATTATTGAATGTGATTAGTTACTACATTCAACTGTTATAGTATACCTCAAATTTGTAGTCAATACTTATCCCATGAAATATGCACTTATATTTCATGTTTTTGTGTACATACGCTTTTTGTGAAGTACATAATCCTAGATAATCCAATTAACATATATATTAACATATTAATGTACTTTCTGTTCAACAAATTAAAATTATATGTTTATCAGACAAATGTCAGTCAGTTCGTCAATACATCTTGAGAGTATTTCTAACGATTATGAAACTGACTAGCTTAACATGTTATCAACCGTGGTTAAGAATAAAATTCACTGATGATCCTGATATAATCTTTAATTGCATTGCTTATAACAATCAAATGAGCTCTCTTAACAGAACAAAATTCGTCATGCTTCTCTTTTAGATTGAACTATACCTTCTAATAAATACAATTCTTATCCATTCATTTATTGATTATGCGATATTATCCCCCGTCGATCTCATTCCATTATTGTTATGTGAGTTTGTATCAAGCAATTTCGCTGCCATATTACACTAAAATGTTTTCGTGATATAAATATATTAACAAGATAATCAAATCTTCTAAATATCACAATTATTACTGTCTTGTAACTATTAATATATACACATAACTTTTAGCATTAGCTATTTCGAAATAAGTTATTTTAATATGAAAATAAACTTACCATTGTTTCTATATGAACGTTTCTCTTCATTCAATAATGGCCGTTCATTAGTGTTCAAGTGTTTTGGAAAGAAGTGTTCCTTTCTGGTATATGTTGATGACATTGACGATGATGATGTTTGAGGTAGTCGTATATTATTATACATTATTTCAGAGTGATTTTCAATGATTTCTTTTCGACTTGATCTGTCTTCCTTACAAGTTACAATAATTTCCTGTGGTTTAATTATTTCAGTATTATATACATGTTTATCTGAATTATTTAATTTTTCATATTCATTATTGTTATTTTCAGATTGTAAATTAACTATATTTGATTCCGATTTTAAATTTGCATTTTCTTTTCTATACTGATTGATTGAAAATTGTTGGTTTTGTTGATTACTAACAAGAATATTTTTATCATTATCATCGGTATATTGTAAAACGGGTGTGACTGGTTCATAGTTTTCAGCCAATGAATTATTAGATTGAGTCAACGCCCTTGTGTTCTTATTGATCATTTCTGGTTTAAACGTATCAGAATTAAATATGTTGTTTGATAATGTCGGTGTATTTATACTAGAAACATTTGGTAAAATAAATAAAGCTTCATCTCTTTGTAATGATGATGATGATGATGATGATGATGATGGAGATAATTTATGGTTTTCATCAACAGAACTAAAAGAAATAATTTGTTGATCCTCATCATTATTATCATCATCATCATTTAGTGAACTTTGACTTGTTTCAACGATTTTTGATAAACGTTTCTTTTTAGATTCATTTGTGGTCATATGATAATTTGGTCGTCTCATATCTGGTAGAATTACACCGCCTAACTGTTTGACATTCGTACCAATCCATGATTCTGGTTGTGATGTATCGTAATGAGCTTCGTTTAGATCATCGGATGATGACGATGAGGTGAATGATGATGGTGATGATGAATTTGATATGGAATCACTGGATTCATTATCGGAATCTGAATAATGCAATTTGTCAGACAATAGATCTGTTAAGTTATTATTGGAACGATTTGGTCGTTTCAGTTTAACACGTTTGTATGAAGCTGTAGAAATCTTTTAATGCACAGGGAAAAAAAGTAAACAGACTACTTAATAATGAACAAGGAAAAACCAAGGTTTTTTTATATGTACGTCATTAATAATAAATGCAAACCACTTCTGATGTTTGGTCATTAAACTAATTTGAGTGAAGCTAATTTTCCAAAAGAATTGTAATTTTTAAAGAAACCAAAAGAACAGGTCATTTTTTGGTTTTCATATCAGAAGTGACACCAAGTTTATAATCATATTCTTTTAATTCCTATATTTGTTTGATAAAATACTCAGAAATGTTAACAACTAGTTTAAGGGAAGAGAAACTTTCATATGCCTTACTATCGAATTATTTACGATTAGAAGCACAAAATACTTTTTACGCATAAAAATACCTAACGTCGTTGTCTTATTTGCACTATCGCAGCTAGAAATGAATAGAGACACCCCAAACTCTCCACCTTCATATTCATATTCATAATCACATTTATTTGTTTGGTGAAAATAATGTGACTACTTATGAGTAGCACAAATGAAAGTAAAAAATATTGAGGCTATAATCTTGTTAAAAAATACCACATGTATTTTGAATAGAAGTCGAAAATGATAGAAATTTCATTGAAAGACAAAATAACTACTGTGAGTATGTACTACTCCATCAATAGAAAACTTTTTGGACAAAATTAAAATAAAAGTATGATTAACATAGTCTAACACTAACTAATACCTGAATTCAAAAATTTGGATGAAACTCTTCTTTTTTATACAAACGGTAGTAAAAAAATTTATCGTCCTGTAATGTTTCTACTAATTAAGTCGAAGTTGGAACTCTTCATCAGTAGTGAGTTAGGGTTGAGTATAAATAATTTCATACCCAAAACTGTCTAAGATTCGATATATTTTGATTAATGATAGCAGTTATGTTTATCCTATATCGTAGAGTAACACCTAATTTTGTTTTACATTTACTTACTTTTCCTGATTTTATACTTTGGTTATTATCGATTAGCTATCAAAGAATCTTTGTTTCCTTACAGTATTTTTCTTCTGCCTTGACGATTTTAGTCCTTTTATCTCTGAGATATATCGTTATCTTCATATTTATTAAATCTACATGCATACGTTTATTGAATTGTGTTAATAAATGTCAGTGCTATGAAATTCAGAACACACTTTCTAAAGCTTTAGTTCTGATATATATATATATATATATATATATATATATATATATATTTGGTCAGAAATGGTAGACTAACTATAAAAGAGACTAACCAGGGATATGCAGTAAAATGATTATCTTTTTTCTTGTCATTTATTATAAACTGTAGTGCGGAACATTTTAAGGGAGTATAATAATTCCACAAACTGAATTTATCGGATAAGACTATAACAATGAATAATTTTAACTGCACAGAAAAATATTAACATTATGCTTTATATCCTTAGTTACATACAAAGGAGCAAGCTTAGTTAGTTTAAAGCATTAACACATTGAAAAATTAAGAAACGAACAGTTTATCAAAGAATAGTAAGCCTTTCAAAAATTAATATTGTAATATAAATTAATTTGGATATATTTAATGGCGTTTACATAAACAATTGAAAAAATAATTTGGAATATTGGTAGAGATACTTTTCAAAACTACTATTGGCAAAAATTATTTTTAGTAGTGTAAAAAAAAGATAGAAAACTATGAGGCGTCCTACAATAGGACGAAACGACCGTCCAGTGCTTCCATGTTTTCCATGGTGGTCTAGCTTCAATTGATTCATGATCTCAATTATTGAAATTACTAGAATATCCACAAAACCCCCTTCTGATGCTAATCAACATATGCTCACTAGTGACTGGCTTCAAGGTGTATAACCTGGAGTTCTAGTGAGAAGCAGTGACCAGTGGAGTTCAACCGGGTCTGTTGTGAGATATCAACTCACTGAAGACAATGGTGTACGGTGGCGCAACTTCGTGGATTAGTTGAAATTAGAGGTTAACACCGTTGGATGCCAGATCAGTGGTCTAGAGGTTAAGCGTTCGCGCACGATATGCCCTGGATCGAATGTCGCGAGGCGGGGTTGTAGATACGCACTACTGAGGAGTCCAACCATAGGACGAAACGGCCGTCCATTGCCTCCAGGTTTCCCATAGTGGTCTAACTTCAATAGACTCATGATCTCAACTACTGAGAAAACTGTAGTGTCGGTTATTATGTTAAGCCTATGTACCTTATTCTAGCTTTCAGACAGGTCAACCTATTCATTCTACTTGAGTCACATTTTGACCTTGTTAATTATTCGCTTATCAATCTAGACTGTTTTTATATGAGCGTATATATGTGTACATTTCTTTTCCTATTCATCACACGTCTGTAACTTATTTTCCTGTAGCTATAAATATTGATTGACGCCTGGTTAATTGGAGTTTGCTTGCTCGCCATCTCCACGGCGCGTCGTTTCGCTTTGCTCTATTCCATTCGCTTTATATACAAAATAAATTTATTCAAGCACCCATTTTCGTTATTTGACTTATTTAATTTTGTTATTGACTAACGCCATTTAGGTCGATGATTATATACGAGGATAGGCGATAAATATATTTCAATAACAGTCATTCATACGATCTACCTGGAGTCAGATTCCGGGCCAATAAAGTATAGAGCCCGTCGACAACATCGTCCGATATAAATGACGACAAAATAAAGGGCCCCACTAAAAAACCTGTGAGTTAAACATGTTAAATTTTAAATAACACCAGTTTGAAAATAGGTTATAATTATTGCTCATTTTTTATTACTGAGGTAGTTGTAGATTAATCAATGGATCTTTTTAATACAGAATATATATTTTAACCAAACCATTTTTACAGCTTCATTAAATCTCAGTGGGCCATTATACTATTTCTTACTGATCAGGCTGGATTGGAACACTATGTTCACCTAACGGCATTTACTAAATTTATTGCGTTCAAAAAACATTTCTATTCTAAATTATCATTTCAAGTGTTCAAATAAGTGCCATTAAATATTTAATAAACTAAATTACATTATAGTTTTGATTTTCAAAAAGCTCACTGTCTTATGATACATTAATATTTTGGCATAATGAAAGTTGTTCACTTTTATAAAACTGGTGATAAAGAACCATAGTCAAAAAACTCTGTCTTATTTGATTCGCTTAAATTTAATCTCATACACATTCATGAAATTTCAGTCCATACTTTGTAAGCGTTTTACACCTCATATTTATATTTACATTTATAATGATGTCAGTAAGAAATACAACAAAAAGTAGTCACACTCGAAGTATTTGTTAACGGAGTTCATATACCAACAGAGAGTAATAAAATTCACTTATGAATATCGATAATAGAAAAATATAAATCTTTACAATTAGTAATAAATATGAAGATAATTTCATTGTTACTAATATTAGTAATCAATATAATCGGTTGTTATCAATATTTCTTGGTAATGCTTATTAGAGAATTAGTATTTGAGTAATGAGAGATAAAAAAATGACAAACAAAAGGTGTATCTTGACGGATTAGATTGAATATAAAATAAAGTATTACAAAACATGGAATGCAATACATCAAAAATAATAACCACAATCCACTCACTTGATGACAGATTTAAATTTAGTATTATTAATCGAGAACTTCGTGTTATTAACTCAGAATTAGTTAAAGTAAACATAAATTACATTAAAAAGAATGTACATTACAAAACTCTTACAAAGGAATCAACTACTTTGGTAGATTCAACTATTATGTAATCAATGTTAAATATAAACACTTATGAAGTTCTTTATTTTATTCACTTCTCATTACCATGATTTCATCCAAGTCATTCATAGAGGTTAAGTAATAAAGTTTGGTGAAGTTGATGAATTGAAAAAGCTTGAGGTACTCCTTTAACGATCATGAAACACATATTCGTATTCCATATTGGTACTATATGATCTACTTCATTACAAATAGTTTGTTAAATTAGGATCAGTTTCAAATTAACTTTACGAGTTTCTGTTGACTTAAACATATTCTGGTTATATAATATACGGAGTTTAATATTCTCCAAATTTCTAATCAGTTCTAAAATGAGACCCTTACAATAGAATAGGACTACATATAGATTTGAAAATTAAAACATTTCTAATTTATTTTGTTCATATATGGGATCCTAATAAATTCATCAATAAGTGTTCCATTAGAACACGAAATAAGGACACATTAGTAAAATTGCTTTCATCATCAAGATAAAATATTAAATCCGTGTTGTGCAAATAAGAAAATGTAGTGTCGGTTGCTATGTTAAGCCCACATAGTTTATCCTAGCTTCCGGATAGGCCAATCTATTTGCTCTTCTTGAGTCATATTTTGACCTTGTTAATTATTCGCTCGTCAACCTTGACTTTTTATGTAAGTGTATGTATGTTCATTGCCTATCTTACTCATCACGTCTGTAACTTAGTTTTATCTGACTATAAATATCGAATAGTGCTTGATTAAGTCGAGTTGGATCATACACCTTCTTTATTGCCCATAATTTCCTTTTTCCCTCTTCCCTTCGTCCCTTTGATTGTCTGTCCAGATCAGTGGTGCGTATACAAAATATACGTATTCAGAGACCCATTCTCGTATTTGAATTATTTAATTCCGTTATTCATCAACTCGATTTGAGTTCATGATTATATACGAGGATTGGCGACATGTATATTTCGATAACAATCAATCATTCATACGATCTACTTGGAGTTGGATATTCGAGGGCCAAAAAAAACGTTTTTCAGTTAAATCCATCTAAGAATTAACTGTAGTATACAAACCAGATCTTTTAGTTATTGTATGTGTTTAATTTCATTGATTGAGAAACTTCGATCTGGTTTAATTTATGACAAAATGTAACTGAAATTGTAAAAGTACTATTTATTTAAGCACTATACATGTGTATATATCCTATATAATCACAGTATAATATATTTTTGAACATTTTGATAACTTTAATTTTTTCTACATTAAGCCAAATAAATTTGTAATTGGAATTTACTTATTTATTAAATAGTTGTCTGCTCATATCACAAATTAAATAAATTTTGAAGAGTGAACCGCTAGATTCCGACTGAGTAGTGTAAAACTAAGGATGTTTCAATGAGATTAAATTGTTGTGAGTTCATGCGTGTACACTATTGTGAAGTTCTGAGTTAGGACAAAAGACTTGTCTATTATTTCTTGGTTTTTTAAATAATCCATCTGTTGATATCTTATTAAGGTTTAGACTTAACAATCATTTTGGTGTTATTCAGCGGAAAAAATATTAAATCAGTTATCGTTAATTTACAAAAACGTGAAGAAGTGCTGTAAAACCTAGTTTCATACGTTCTATTTTAAATGAATTCATGTCAAATGTAGAAATGTATATTGTTTAGGAAGATTAGTTCAAGAGCATGATAAACACGTAACTAAAAGTTCTCCTTTTTTTGACAAACTTAACTTTAGAACATTTGTATTCTTCATTATACAAATAATCACTATTGTTTAAATTTCATTTTTACATTGTTGTTTATGCTTTTACATGTTTTCCAGCTACTTTGAATGAATGTATAAACTTGCTGAAATTGGAAAGCACTAAAAACTATATTTATTCTCTATTTATTTTTCCGAAAATTCGGATTATTTAGTAGAGTCCTATTTGTGTCGGATGGCGAGAGTTATCCACTTCAGATAAAGGATGAAGGATTGTGCAGTATCACGGACAAACTGAATTTAAACATTAACACCGCTGGATACTGGCTCACTGATCTAGAGGTTAAGTGATCGCTCTCCAGACTGAAATTTCAGGGTCAGACTCCTGTGTATAGGGTCGTAGATTCACACTGCTGAGTTGTTCCATACTAAGATGAGGTGGCTGTTCAGTCCTTCTAGGTTTTCAGTGGTGTTCTAGCTAAGACCGATTCATGAATTTAACCATTGAAATTACTACAATCTCCATAAATCCCCCATTCTGATAAAAATTCGTATTTATTTTTTTTTCATTTATTCATCACCTACTTCTTCATTGTCTTTTTCTTCATATTTTTTTCAACTTTTATTTATTCTAGCATTTCATCGTATCGACAATTGAAATAAACTGATGTTAATGTATAACTTTACCAAAATTACGCAATAATCTATTGTTCTGTTTTATCCATGACTAGTTTACAATGTACATATTTTAATGAAGGTCATGACTATTGTATACTTACCTTTTTGTTATTATCATTAACTTCCAATTCATTCGATTCATCTGAGTAGAAAAATAAAAAAAATCAAAAAAATAAATTCATATGATTGAAATGTCAAAACGTGTTTTCACTGACATGGTGTAACGTATTGCGAAACATTTTAAAGCTTTACAGCTTTTTATCACCTACTTGATAATATCTTAAATATATTTTTTAAATCATGATAACTGTTTTCTATATTTTCCAACTTTCGTTGGTTTTAACTGTTCTAAGTCAATGCTACAAAAACTGCTATTTTAAAATTTTTGCTTAAATGTAAACTATTTATTCAGTAAGTAAATCATACTACTCTCAAGTAGTAATAATTAATACTTAATTTATTGGTTTTTGTGAGGCAATCTGAAACGTTCAGTACTTTAGGACATAGAAAAAATTGGTTATTTTTAATCAGTAGTGTCGTCATGATCAGTATTCTTTGATAAATACGACTATTTATGGACGAAATTAAAATCCTCTAAAATAAGAAAAACAGTGACTCAAATGTCATCAGGAAGGTCAAAGTGTTTGGTAAATTTCTACTATAAAATGGTTTATCGGGGTGAGGTTGTTTTTCTGAAGAAAAGAATAGAATGGTAAATGTTTCGAAGCACTTAGAGTTAAATCCACTGTGAACGCATTCTACTAATTAGATAGATTTCAAACATATTTCGATAGTTGGAAATTATCCATTTTCAAAAGTTACAAAACGCACAACAAAGAATACTCTTTAATGTATCTTTAATTTGAAAATTTCAGCAATTCATCGTCTTATATTGTAGGAAAAATTAGTTTGATAAAGCAGAAATGTGAAAACGCCTGGTTATTTATCTTATGATTTGAAAAAAAGTTTCACTATCAGTTGTCCATAACTCATCCTTGGATGTTTCGTTAATAATCTAACTGTTGTTGAATTCCGCATAATGTTTAGAAAACGGCCCACTAAAGTGTCCTTTCCCGTCTTATTAACGATAGTGAGTAAATCCAACTTAAACTAGTTTTCCCATGAAATTTACTTCAAACACTTGTGTTTTTAATTTTGTTATCAATAGTATTTGATCATGTTAAAATGCAATTTTTGTAGGGTAACACAAACCTATATGACTACAGGTATTACAATGCATAATTAATACTACCAAACTTATCATGTTGTAGATAAAGTAATTATGACTGACATGCACCACTTAGAAAACAATTGTCTTCAACTTCATTGAATATTGGTTGGTAATTGTTTGACTTAGCGTTTAATTTATCTGTTTAATTGGAATGAACAATATTATTAATATTTGAGCACAGTTTATTACTTCATTTGACAGCTAGATTCAAAATGAAATTTCTTTATCTCAATAGATCAGAATTGAACTGAAATTTCTAGTCAACTATTTGCAATTTATTTGATTTTATGTAATTTTTGTTTACAATTAGTATTTACTATATATGTCTACAGTGATTAGTGCAACTTATCAATCATATTTACAGGGAAACCAGAAATTTACAGTGAGTTACTCAAGTTAATGTTATGCTTTTACAGTTATGTCTATACAATGAAAATCTTACTAATAAATAGGCTTATTCAACAACTTTAATTGCAAAAAAAGGATTATCAATATTGGATCATTTATCAAAACAAAATGATTGATGAATACAAAGAAACTATTTACAAAAACAAGTATGAAGTAAAATGAGACGTGAATGATAACTTATAATGAATAGTTTCGCGAATTACTAAAATGTTTAACAATTTGATTGGAATTATAGTAGAGGTGAATAAGATGCCAATATATTATTCTAATTCAAACTACATTCATTTATGTACTGCACTAAAGCGTTATTTATTCAATAGTGATTTTAAATGCTTACGAATATTTCAGTTTTTATTTAATCTACCGTTTATCGTTTGCCTAAATTACATTCCAACTAGTCAATTTACCATTATAGAAAGTATAATCTGCACTAGACAAATCAATTATTTATTGATATTCATGTTTAATTCACAGATATTCAGTTACATACATCTTAATTACATAAAGATCTAACTTACTGAAATATAAATCTAATAAATTACCTTATTATTACGTTTCGTAAAATAGGTATTATATCCACATCACATATCATTCAATACTGATGGAAATCAAATGTAGTTCAGACTAATTAATTCATTGTCGCTGGTGTATCAAGTGTAGTAAAGCATACTAAAGAATAATGATCATCAAAGTTAGTTATTAATTAGTCACTTGGTATAAAGTATTGAATTTATTACGGTTCCTAATCATCACATTTTTCGAATCAAGCAAGTCATTTAGTAAGTTCATATAAAAAGGTGCTTAAATAACGGATTACTTTCGAATCATCTGGAGTGATGACAGACTTCCTCCACAATGAAGATTATACCAAATTTATCAATTTGTTGGCGTTGAACGTTTGGATTAAATGTTTACTTATTTCAGAATACACATTACATACTTATGACACGATTGAAATTGGAGGGTAACAACCATCCGATAAACTGGTATATAAACTGAATAAAAATATTCAAAATTCTGTTAAAACTATCATTAACACTAAATGAATAAAGGATTCATGATTATTCATTTGTTCTTATACAAACTTTAACGTCAGAAATGACAATCCGGCTTGTGAAGAAAAATTTTATGAATTCAACTTGACCAGTAATGTATAAAATGTATTAAGACTGTGTATCAAGGTAAAGAAAAAACAACAATGCTTTCTGAGGTAACAACATAAAAATACTGGAAGGCGAAGGTTTTCAATAAATACTTCTACAAACTACTTGTTATAACTTAACTAATAACAAGCTTTTTAGTCTGCTATTGTTAACTTGAACTAATTTTCTTCATACTGTAATCAAGCCTAATAGTCTCTTGGTATTGTGCTTATCTGTATTTCGGATTTGTAACATTTGTAGACAAGATATTTTCGTATTATCACGTTACTTGATATTTTCTAAGTTTTATTTAAATTTTAGTAGTCTTTATTATATCATAATGATATATCTTAGCATCACCTTCTGACCAAATTCATTTCAATGTGTATGTGAAGCTCTATTTGTCTCTTTGATACTAAAATCATACATGTTATAAGTAGCTAACAAGAATGTAGCAAAATAAAGTGAATGCATGATATCCTACCCAAAAACACTGAGCTTTTTATTCCATCAGTTAATGAAGAGACGTTTCATAAAAGTATATTTAATTAGATGTCACCAAAATTTAGGATGATATATATATATATATATATATATAATATATATATATATATATATATATAATTTGCTTTACATACTCTAATATTTGAAAAATAGTATTTCGCAACTGAAATCGCTTAACCTATCATTCTGATTTTAAACGATTCTTTTATTATCAGAAGGGGTTTTGTGAAGATTATAGTAATTTCAATAGTTTAGATCATGAGTCATTTGAAGATAGACAACCATGGAAAACCTGGAAGCACTGAAAGGCCGTTTCGTCCTAGTATGGGACTCCTCATCAATGCGCATCCACGATCCCACCCCCCGCGGGATTCGAACCTAGGACCTATCAGTCTCGTGCGCGATCGCTTAACTATTAGACCACTGAGTCGGCATCCATCTTTTATTAATAAAACAAACATGGATAGTAATTGAAGTGGTTTACATTCATTTAATTCTTTCAATGTCATCTATACTATAGGCGGCCTGCTTGAGCATCTGGGATACCTGTTCCTGCTATCTAGATATTTCAACAAGTTATCTATTTTTGTTTGTTTTAATATATTATTATGTCTATTAATCGCATAACCTATCCTGGTGCATTTCTGAAAAGTGTACAACCTTTCGTTGTCAAAGTTACAAAAAAGCCCGATAAGAGATGATGTGGTCTCTGGCAATATGCAGAGAAAAGAATATACATTATTCAGATCTTCATTTACTGGACTGCTTACATCTAACTGGCGATCACTCATTATTTATCGTCAGGATCGACCAAGAAGTAAGAAACGGAAACTTGTTGAAATACTTCGTGCTGAGAATTCTGTATTGTACCAAAAATATAGTATTGAATAAAGCTTATAATAATAACTATTAGATAGTCACTTGGTCAAATCTATTTAGTCTTAAATGTTTTTTTTAGTTCAATTTAAAAGTTATATAAATACTACTATGTATTTAATTTTTTAAAAAAGCATGACATTTTGGGGGAACCTAATCACCACGTTGCTATAAATCATTCATCATTTGAATAAGTTACTGAAATTATTTTTTTTTAAATTACGCACTTATATGCTGCTTATTACCATATGTTCTGAATGATTTACGTTATTGGATAAAATTTTCCATTCATATGATATGAATATAATGTGAATTATTATATTTATCATTATAAAGTACACTAAACTCCAATAATGAAACTTTTTAAATCACATTTTGTTAAATACGTTTAGCTTATAAATTGTTCTCCATATATGATGACACAAGGTACATAATGAGTTGTATCTTACGAAAAAGAATAAAAAAAATCTATTAAACATTCATATTTTAACGAATAATTTAATTTAGATACGAGTAAACAATTGATCACAGGTATTTACAATGACTAAAAATTGTAAAACTCAAAGAAATTGTGTTGGATTAGTTGATGTTAGACACTAATATCGTTGAATGCCGGCTCAATGGTTCAACGGTTGGGCATTCGAGTGTGAGACTGAAGGTCCTATGTTAGAGTTCTGCATGTGGGATAGTGGATGAGAAATACTGGAAGTTTCTATTTTGGGGTGAGAAGATCTTCCTGTGCTTTCAGGTTCTCAATGGTGGTCCAACATTTACTGGTTCGTAATTTCAATGGAACTCCAAAACTTTATGCAGACAATTGCTAGTATGACGAAACTACTTATCAGTAGGTAATTCAATATAATTAAAAACAAAAACTTGTAGGTAAATCCTGATCTTATTTTTTTTAATATTGGCAATGTATTTTAAAAATGATCAATTTTAAAAGATTGTTTAGTTGAAGAAGGTCAAAACGGCTTCATA